TTAATTTTTAAATTGGTCCCAGGAAGCACTTAGTGAGATATTGCAATTTGCACTTTATTGGCATTACATGGCACTATTCCTTGCTCCAGCTCAGCAAAATATATTCTTAAGTGTAAGTAAGTGCCATCGATATCAATGGAATTATTCATATTCTTAAAATTAAACATATGCTTAAACATTTCAGGGAGCTGAGACAGCTGGTCTCTTGTTGAAGGCCTATCTAAATAAATGCAGCATCTACAGCAGATTGTGAGATTTATAACCCCATGCACAATTTAATGATGGATATTTCAGCATTTCAGGTAAATCTTTGCCTTTTGTTAAATATTTGTGTCAAAGAAGCGAGGTGTGACATTTCAGTACAGTCCAGTTTTGTGTTTGAACACATCTGTGAAGAACCTCTGCAGAACTGAGCTCATGAATAGGGACAGAAGCGACTGAATGTTCATAGAAAGTGAACAAAAAAAAAAAAAAAAAGAGAAGTGGAGACCGACCCTAATTGAAACCACGTTTTGAGCTGTAATGGGAAGGCACAGAAAAATTAATCCTTCCATTTTAGGTATTTTGATAGCAGCCATTAGTGCAGAGTTGAAGTTATTCAAACCACTTTGCCAGACAGAAGGGAGCTGCTTGTTTTTCTTCTGCCAGCAGCAGTGAGAATGTCTTCCCAAGTGGAACCAAGCCACGGGGGTTTATAGAAACAGCTGAAGAGATTATTTGATCTTTTGATTAAAACCTCTTTTTTTGGTCAGCTGGTTTATTTGCCCAGGTAATGGCTGTGCTTCTTCTTCCCCACATCCCTGGCCAAACCCAGGCCTGTCTGTGGGTGCAGCTCAGACAGAAGGACACAGGCAGGGACCTCGACACTCTGCAAAAACAGTGACAGAGAATTCCCTGAATACAGTGACAATATTCCCTGTCAGCTAGTCAGGACCTGATAGCTTCCACCTGTCCAGAGCAGCCACCAATATCTATGAAATCCTGGAATTTGTGGTTAGTTTTGTCTTCTAAGAAAAGTGGACAGCAAGGATGTAGGGAAAACAGTGAGGGAAAAAAAAAAAAAAAGAGTATTTTTCTTAGCAGTTGTGAAGTGGGTGGGACAGGACTGTCAGACCCCAACTTGGAAATCCTGTGTCCAACCTCAAAAGTTCCACTGAGAGTTGAAAGGACAAGACTTTTTAAAGTAATAATTCCTGGAGCTTATCTTTTTCCTTCCTGGGTTTCTCAGCCCTTTGTGTTCCTGATTTCAAACTTTTGACTGCGGACATGGGAGATTAAAACTAAACATAAAATCAAAGCTGAATCAATGTTGGTTTCACATGACTCCAGCAGAAGGTTCTTTAAATCAATCCTGAAGATTGCCAGGGTGGCACTACAATCCCAGGACAGTGTGACATCCATTCCCTGTTTCAAAACTACCCTGTCCTTTCTCTCCAAGACACTTAACAAATAAAGATCTTTTCCAAAAGGCGTAAGCGACACTCCAGTGAAGCAATTTTCTTTTCCTGGCATTGTTAGGAGCGGGGACTGAGTTATTATTAATTACTTTTGCATTATTTATGCAGGTCTGTGAATGTGCAATATCTTTTACAGATAAATCACCCTGCCTTGAAAAGTTTCCAGTGTGCCAGCCAAATCCTGGGAATCTGAAACAGCAGGAGGCAACTGGTGCAGCAGAACAGGTAGATGTTAATCCTTGATGCTGCAGGACTGGTGCCTTATCAACGTTTTTCTTTCATTTGTTTTGCAATTGCACCAAAGAGACTCAACTGATGCTGTTGTTTCCCAACCTCTTTAATCTGGCATCAGCTGACAGGAGCAGCCTCCATCCTCTTCTTTATTCCTGCTCCTTCTCTTGCCTCTCCTTTTTGTGGTTTATGCAGCCACTTGGAGAACCAAAGCAGGGAAATGATGTGGCAAAATTAAGAAGAGGTTTCTTTGTGGCCGGTCCCAGCCGGGCCCCCTGAGCACGGGGATTTTGCGTTTCCTCCTGCCCTGCCCGCTGTCCTGTGCTGAGCTGGTGTCACACCCGTCACACTCACAGGGCCGGGGCACAGGGAACCCTCACAACTCCCCAGGGTGTGGAGAAGGGGCCACTGCAGCCTCTCACCCCCCGAGGAGTTCCCCGTTCACTGTTCTGGCCATCCCTTCGTCCCCCTGACAGCTTTTAGGGGTGTTTGTCAGCTCTGCCGCACAGACTGCAGCCGTGGCTCCCCGGCAGGAAGGACAGAGCATCCCCAGCAGCTCAAGGACATTTTGGAGGTGCAAACCCAGCCTCACATAGCCGTGTGCAGCCCTGGGGATGCCCAGACCACGGTCACAGGCTGCTTTTGGGGCTGCTTTGCTTTCTCAGGCTGCAGCCCTGCTCGATGCAGGAGGCCCAGCCTCGGGCACTGCCGCCCTTTTAAAGCTGCTTTGTGGGTTTCTTTTCTTTTCTCTCCTTTTTTTTTCTTCTTTTCCCCAGGTTCCCAGGGCTGGGGATTCAGCTTCTGGCCTCATCCAGAAATCCCCGAGGGTTTCAGATCCCCACGAGGCCTCTCAATGTCTTGATCTGCTTGAATAGGCATTTTTAACGCGGCCCCGGCTGTCATCGGGGCCTGTTACAGTCACTCAACTGCAGCAACATTGTTCTCCCGGCAGCAGCGCCGGGGACACCTCCCTTATTTCCATACTGCACGGGGGGATTTGGCCACTGGGCCGAGCATCCCACCGGGGCTCGCTGGCCGGAGGTGGCCAATTAGCCCCGCTCGCCCCCAGCCCAGCCCTTCATCCCCCCGGCCGCTCCCAGCATCTCCAGCCCGCGGGGCTGCTGGCGCCTGTCCATCTCGGCGGGTCCTGCCGGAGGTGAAGGTGACCCCCTTTTCCTGTGCCAGGGGCTCCCTGGCAACGCCGCCTTTTCTTTGGAAGCGGCCTCCTCCACCCCCTGACGGGGCTCGGGGCTGTGAAAGCCCTGCTGCACTTTTGAACTTGCTGCCGGCGCGTTCAGTGGCTGCGCGGGGCAGCGGCGGCGGCGGGGCCGGGCCCAGCGGGGACCCGGTGCAATTGCCCAGAAGTTATTAATAGGCTGGGGAAGAATGTGATGGGCCGGGGGAAAGGGTGAGGAGGGGGGAGAGAGGCAGAGAGGGTCAGCGAAAGGGAGACGGGGTGATGAGGGGAGAGGTGGGAGTGGTGGCACGCAGGGGAGACAAAGAGATGGGCACCAGGACGGGCAGACAGGGCCATGCACAGGCTGGAGATGCGAGTTCCCGGTGCTCTGCACCTCGTGCAGGTGTCTGAGGAGTGGCCGTGCTGGAGGAGAGGTGTCTGACCGCAGTGCTGGGGGATGGAGAGAACAGAGAGGCCAGGCCTGGGAGTCCAGTCCAGGGCAAGGCATCCCTCTCCCGGGATGAAATATTGGTGGGGTTCATGAGCCAAATTTGCCATCTAGTGGCCCTGGGGACTATTGCAAAGGAAGCCACGAGGCAGCCGCGGCCGTGGGAGAAGGCACTGCCGGTCACCTTCTCCGCAGAGATAGAATCCAGCGTGCTCCTGCTGTGGCTTTGTTCACAGGGGCCCAAAAATGGTCAATGGAGTGACATTACCTTTGTGTGGCTGCGTTGCAGGGAGCCATCCTCAGCCACCTGCCAGGCTTGGTGCTCACCGGTGACAGTCCCTGCAGGCTGCACCAGGACCCAGACCCACCACAAGGCTCAGCTTGTCACTGTGAGCAGCAAGGCTTAGGGAACATGAGAGTGTCCTATGACTGCGAGAGCAACAGTGGGGACAACCTAGAAAGTACATCACTCTTTCTCTGAGGCTCTACACCTCTTTGTTCCTGCAAAGGTAATGACATTTTTATCTAATGTCATAGAATCACAAAATCCCAGAATCTCCAGAGCTGGATCCCTCAGGGATGATCAGTGCAGCCCCTGGCCCTGCCCAGACCCCCCAACAAGCCCACCCTGAGCATCCCTGAGAGCGCTGTCCAAACGCTCCTGGAGCTCTGGCAGCCTTGGGGCCGGGCCCATTCCCTGGGGAGCCTGGGCAGTGCCAGCAGCCTCGGGGGGAAGAACCTTGCCCTGAGATCCATCCCAAGCCCTGGCACAGCTCCAGCCCTTCCTGGGCTCCTGTCCCTGTCCCAGAGCAGAGCTCAGCCCCTGCCCCTCCGCCTCCCCTCGGGAGGAGCTGCAGCCCCCGAGGAGCCTCCCCTCAGTCTCCTCTGCTCCAGCTGAACGAGCCAAGTGCCCTCAGCTGCTCCTCAGAGCCTTCCCCAGCTCCGTGTCCCTCCTCTGGACACTCTCCAACAGCTTTGGATCCTCCTGATCTTGTGGTGCCCCAAGTGCCCCCAGCACTGGAAGTGAGGCTGCCCCAGTGCAGAGCAGAGCGGGACAATCCCCTCATTCAGCCAGCCTCATTCAACCATCCTGGCTTCTTACCTCGTCCTGCCCTCAGACAACCCTTCCAGAAAGTTACCTTTGTGGCCTTTGGAGATTCAGAGCTGGGGAGGAACAAAGACCACTGGGGTTTGAGGAAGGGGAAGAGCCTGGGGTAGGGCACCTCAGGACCTGGGCCAGCAGAGCCTCTTTTGGGCTGTCACCCAGGATTTCTCTTTATAAACAGCTCTCCCTGGGTCAGAGAGAGCTTTGGCCACCCTGTCTATGGCAGTGACTGGCAGATGAGAGGATGTGGTGCAGTCAGAGAAAAAAAGAAGGGCTTCAGTATAAGTCAGTGTCCACAGCTTTAATGCACAGCTCTCCTGAGTAAGACCACATAAATCAATAAATAGAGTTAATAATAATCATTAGAGCAGCCCCAACAAACCCAGCTGTCACCAGTTTGGCTTCAGTGTTCTCTGCAGTCCCCTTGTCAGCAAGGGGTGCTGGTGCTTGACTAACACAGAGGACACAGAAGCAGCACCGTGTCCCTCCCCTCTTTGTGGGGATCTGCGGGAGGAAATCTCCAGCTCCCTGAACACCAGTCTGGACAGAGCCTTCCGAGGCACCTGTGGGCTCCCACCTTGCTTCATGCCCAGCATCATGAGGCCTCAGCTGCTCCCTGCCCCCTCTGCTACCACTCTGTCCCTTCCTGAGGAACAGGAGGAACACAACTGAGATGTTCCCCATGTGAGCATCACAAGCCCCATGCCCCAGGGAGGCCTGAGGGCACCCAGCTCTAGCACTGCTTGTGGGGTTCCTCCAGGGTGACGTAGGGCACCACAACAGGCCATGAGTCGCTGGGCCAGTATTCCAGCTTTGGCTTGAACGAGGGCATCTCGTAGCTGACGTCGAAGTAGATGACCAGTGGGCAGCAGTACAGCAGGGACAGGGCTATCAGCACGTGCCTGCCAAAGAAACCAAAATTGTGTGTTGGACAGAGGGATCTTTGCCTGCTGGCATGGTCACCCCGAGGCTGCAGACCCCAAAGGTCCCAGGAGAGCTGCAGGGAGTGTGGGTCCTGCACGGTTTGTGCCTACAGGGAAATCCTGGCAGAGCTCTGTGAGCTGGGCCAGGGACAATTCCTGGTGTAGAGGGGCTGGGGTGACATAGGGGACTCATTCCAACTATTCCCCATTTCCTGGCTGCACTGTCTGTCCCTGGCTGGATAGATCTGAGTGTGCAGCACTTGCAGCCCTACCTGGGCAGGCACTGAAGTGTCAGCTCCAAACAAAGCCCTGCCTTTCAGATTGGCTGCTAAAATAACAACAGGGATGTTGCTCTTCACATGGCACCACAGGAGCAGCCAGAGCCCTTTGAGAGCCAGCTGCCCACCTGGAAGGGCTTCTGGAACTATTTTACTTGCAAAACAGTGCTTGGCTGGTGTGGAGGAGAGGGACATTAAACAGTGGTTAGGGCTGAATGCAGGGGCTGAGTGAGGAGACAAGTGACAGGAAGGGGGAGAGGGTGGGGAAATAATGCAGCTGTTTCACCTTGGCTGCTGTTTCTCTGCTGTGGACCTTTAAGCCCAGGAAACGTTTGGGCCAGGGTTCCTGGAGCCTTACCAGAAGCTGTGGAAGTAGGGGAAGTTGATGGCCTGCCAGAGCCAGCAGAGCCACCGGTCACTGATCCAGCTGGTGATGGCCAGTGCCCACCACATGACCATGACCGCGGCCATCCGGTGAACCCGTTTGTCATTGCACCTGGAAGACACAGCGAGGGACAGGGAGCAGAGTAATCGTGTTGGAAGGAAAGGGAGTTTTAAAGAGGGCTGGCTCTTGCCTGCACTGGCAGCAGTGCAAACCCCAGCAAGCTCCTTCTGGAGAGTGTTCCTCAGAATTCCACAGGAACTGGAGAAGTGTGGCTCTGGGGAGAGGATTTCTGACTTTCTGGGTGTGAGGATGATGCTGGGAGATGCCAAAGCACTCCTGTCTTTCTCTCCAGACACCCAGCCCCACGCTAGCTCCCAAATGCCCCACAAAAGGGAATGAGCTGCAGAGATGGCAGGCGAGGGGGAGAATCACGGGCTCATAGAACTGTAAAGGTTGGAAAAGTTCATCATGTCCAACCATTAACACAGCACCACCAACCATGTCAGCACAAAACCCTGTCTCAAATGCCACATCCACAGGGTTTTTGAAAATTTCCAGGAATGATGACTCCACCACTGTCCCATGTGTTGTCCCCATTCTGGGCCAGGTGCTCTTCTTGTGTCCCACTGCCCGCAGTCCTGCCTGGGCCTCTGCCTGCTCCCTCCCCAGTACACCTGGAGAAGACTTGGGCTCAGTTCACTGCTGAGGACACAGTCCCTGCCCAGCAGGAGCGCCGTTGGAGCTGCAGGGAACCCCTGAGCCCCCTCCTTACTTCTTGAGCTCCCGCCAGGTGAGGTACAGCAGGTGGAAGGCGATGCAGTTGAGCGCGTAGGCATTGAGGGTCGGCTTGATGAAGGACATGAAGGTGCTGATCACGGTGGTGATACCAGTCAGCCAGAAGAAATGCCTCCTGAAGGGAATTGGGAGTGTCAGTGCCCCAGGGCTCACAGGAGAGTAAGGATGGGAAAGGTCCTGTTCCTGTCCTGAGAGGGGAAACGCTTCTCCAGCACCTCCTGTCTGTCCGTCCGTGGCTGACCTCAGTGGCTGTGGGGCCTTGGCAGGAAAGCTGAGGGAGCAGCCCTCGGTGGGTCTGGGACAGCCCAGGAGGCAACTCCTGCACTTCCATGGTGCTGCAGGGATGAGGCAAAGGCAGGGAGCTCTGCACAGGGAATGGCTGCCAGGCAGGGCTGTGCAAACACCCATTTGGGCTCCCTGAGCAACAATAGGGCTCAGAGGGGGGGTCTTTCACATGCAAATCCCTTCCCAAGTCCCTTCCCTCACCCCCAGCCGCGTCTCCACGGTGAACTCCTGGTGACCTCCTGTTCGGCATGGGAAGAGCAGACTTGGAGCAGTTCTTTGCAAGGAACTGGGCTGGCTCAGAGGGCTCAGCCAGGAGGAGACATCCTCTGAGTAAAACCCTGCTGGGTTCCCATTTCTGCTGGTTCATGCCCTCCCAGTGGCCCCATCCTTTCTGCTGGGCTCCTCCAGCCCAGCCAGCCCTCCTCAAAATGAGGGCTGTTACCATCTTGTCCTATGGGAACCCCCCTCAGCCTTGAGGGAAAGCTCTCTGTGGATGACAGAGGATGCTGGAATAGATTGACAGTGTGAGTAATTGAATGTTAATGTTCAGGAACGTTTCATTTCCTAACTAATTTTGAAATTCTCCATGCAAAATTTCCTCTGCAGTGACACAAACACAAACAGCTCCAGCTGAGAGGAGGGTTTTGACTTTTCCTCTGTCAGTGCCAGAAGATGGAGGGCCTGGTCCTAAAGCCCTTCAGTGACCTCAGAGCTGACCCCTTGCAGGGGAACTGGGGGATCTATGGGTCGCTACACCTGAGTGTCAGTGTCCCATCCCTCCCCTCAGAGCCTGCCCCGTGTCCCTCTGGGTCATACCTGGTCTTGATGCACTTGGGGAAGTAAGCCTGTGGGTACCAGAAGGAGTAAGCCACAGCCAGCGTCCAGAGGATGGAGAGCTCATCCAAGAGCTGTCCCACGTAGCTCAGGGTCATGTGGAAGTACATGGAGAAGACACCTGCAAGGAGCAAGGGCATCTTGAGATGACAAAGCTCCACCCTCCCACAAGCCCTGGGAGGTTCTTGGGGGCCGTTCCTGAAGATACACCATTCCTGAAGAGCGGGGCGTGGATTTTGGTGTTCAAGGGGGCTGGACTGAGTCAATCTAGTCACACCAAGGGGAACTACAGGGCTGGAAGCTGCATATCCACAGCTGGCAGGAACCATGGGCTGCAGGCTTCAAACACACCTGGCTGCTTGGTTACACAGCCGAGTTTTTTGGCTACTGAGACTCTCCAAAAGTCTCATGTTGGGCAGTCTGGCAACCTGTCTGATCTTCCCACAACCCTGGCACCCACCTACGAGGATGAGCAGCCCTGAGATAAAGTAGAGGGGCACAGCCTTCTTCTGGCAGTACTGCCGGTTCAGGTACAGCAGTGCAGGAGACAGCATGAAGAAGCTGACATTGCTGATCTGAAAAACAAGAGGCACACTCAGCTCCTGGGCAAGCCCCATCCCACCACGTGCCTCAGTATCTCTGTGTGTGAGGAGGATCCTGACATCCAGCAGAGAGCCTCTTGCAGAAGCAGGGGTTGCTCTTGGCACAGGGAGAGGGCAGAGGTGTTTCTCCAGAAGCCAGGCTGGAACTGGAAGGGCAGCTCTTGCTGTGGCAGCAGTGGCTGCAGACACCTCTGCCCTCCCTCTGGGGCCAGCAAGCCCAGGGTGAGCTGCTGTGTCCCTTTTGGGTGATGCTGGTTTGTCTTCAGCTGCCTGGTGTCTCCAAGCAACTCCTGTTTGCAGCCATCTCCCTCTCATGTCAAGCCAGACCCTCCAGGAGCTGCCTGGATTGCTCCTGACCCTTCCAGCCAGCAGTGGTTCCCCTGTGAGGGGTTGGAAGGGTGTGAGGAGTTGGGCCAGCACAGCAAGCCACGGTCAGCAAAACGTCTGAGCTGGGAATGGGTGTGGTGGGGAGCAGCAGGATGAGCAGGACATTGGTAGGTGGGAACAGGCAGGACTGAGGTGACATCCTGTGGTGTCAGGTGTGAAGCCACCTGGCCTGGGGAGAGGAGGTGTTCTGGACACTGGTAATTACATGAGGTCATAAACCTCCTCTAAACACATCTGGCAAATGAACACAGAGGAATGATTCTGCTCTGGTTTCCAGCTCTGCAAAATTCCTTTGATAGACTTTGGTTAGTCTGGGGAGCAGGGGATGGTTCTGGGGAGCAGGGGATGGAGCTGGGGAGCAGGGGATGGAGCTGGGGAGCAGGGGATGGAGCTGGGGAGGAGGGGATGGAGCTGGGGAGCAGGGGATGGAGCTGGGGAGGAGGGGATGGAGCTGGGGCTCAGCCTCTTGCTGGACTGGCTGAAGGTGCCAGTGCTTTGGAGAGAGGAGATGCTGATGGGCAAAATGTGGGAGCTGGGGAGGAGCAGCAAGTGCTCAAAGCCTGGCCCTGTCCGCTGGGCCAGGCCTGCTCCACCCTGCAGCACAGGGGAGGGAAATCTGAACTAATTTAATTACCCTCTCTGGGTTCCTACCCTGCCTTTTTCACCTGACTTTGCAGGCTCAGGGAAGGGATGTCACTGGGCAGCACGGCCTCCCCAGGGAAAATGGTTCTTGCTCATGAAAGGCTGGGATTGTGGTGCTGCATTTACCTGCCAGACAGCTCTTTGGGGCTCTGGAGCCATCTGCTGAAGTGCCATTTGGCAAAGCACCAGGGTGACTTTTATCTCAGCCTGACAATCCTTCTCCTTTCATCTTCCAGCTCCATGCTGGCCCAGACCCCACGCCTGGAATTTGGCCTCCACAGCTGGAGTTTCCCCCACCCCAGCAGCATCAGGTAAACTGCAAAATCGGTGCTAGGCTTGTGGTGTCCCCTGGGATCCCAGTTTATGGTAACAGGGCTACAAATCACTGGGATGTTGTCATCTCTCTGGAACACACCCTCTTCTATTCCAGAGGGAAACATAATTCACACCTAATGTGATTTCTCTATTCCCTTAAACACCGGAGATTCATCTTGATTTTTTCACTAAGGCTTCCATGAGACAAGTTGATGCTTCCATTAGCAGCAGTTCTCAGGCCGAATGTATCAGTTTTCCATAGGTGATTAGAACCAAATCCAGGCCAATTCCCATTTTTCCCATGAAAAGAGAAGTGCTGCTCCCACTTGCACCCTGGAGGTCAAATTGTTCAGAAACGACCGAGAAATCAAACCATGTGTTCAGGCAACAACCATGCTTCAGACATTTCTTTTCCCCTGAATGGTTAAGGAGGCCTTTGGAAGGCAAGCAGGGATAGCAAGGAGAGGGAAAATGCTTGGGGAAAAGGCAGGAGAGTGCAAGTGCCAGCACGCACGTCAGTGAGGAAATGCGGCAGAGAAGAGCTCTGGATCCATGAGCACCGCGCATTGCAACAGTGCCATTAATTACATGATAGCTGTGTTATCACTTCATTAATTCGGGACGAGATGTGCAACATCAGATAACAGAGGGGAGGGATAACCAGGGGAACCGTGCCAATAGGGTCAGGAAGATAAACGGGATTCCTTGCAGAACAGCCAAGTTTAGGGGACAGCTCCCACCCCCGTGGGGGACACGGACTTTTCATCCCTTGTCGGCTTCAAGCCCTGATTTGTAAATGCTGACTTTCTGTCTTCCCTCTAGGATGTGGCAAGCTCCGTCTCAGATGTGGTTAGGAGGGTTTTGCTCCCAGGACAACCATTAGAATTTTTTCTGGAGTTTCTGCTCAGGCTGGGACCCCCTAGCACAGCTTCTATTTCAGCCTCTCTGGTCACACAGGCCAGGAGGCACCAGCTCCCTCTGCCCTGCTGGGGAGATAAGGGAGTGGTGATGGAGCCAAGGTGTGACAGGACATGTGAGAGTGCCCCTGCCTGAGCTCCCAGCCCGTCCCACTCCCCAGGAAGTGTGAGTTATTGCTCCAGGTGCCTCAGCTGAGACAAACTATTTGCTTCTTTTCCTAGGAGAGAAGTGAGGCTGGGATCAGCAGCAAGGCTCTAATCCTGGTGCATTAATAGGATCATTGGGAAGACCCCCAACTTCTGCAACTCCAGCCTGAGACAGAGGGACAGAACCTTCACCTGTGACAGGTGAGATCAGCCTCTGATATGGATTGAGGCAGGAGGTGCTGGTTTAAGCACAGCAGCAGTGCAGTGGCAGCAGAGGCTGCTCCTCACTCCAGCCAGGCACTTTCTGCAGTGGAAGGAGATTCCTGCAGGGCTTGTGGCAGGGAGTTCATTCTCACTCATAGTGAATCAGTTTTAGCTGACAGAGGAGCCCACAGGGCCAGAGACAGGGCTGAACTCCTCTGAGGCTCTCCAGACCTGTGCAGCAAGTTCCTAAAGCCAGGCTTGTGTTGCAGGGGACGAGGCTGCAGGTGCTGACATCACAATGCTGGTGCTTTGGGGAGGGAAGCAGCAGTTTGGGGAGTGTCTGCAGCATCCTGGGCCATGCTCCTGAGCACAGCTTTCTGGGCAGGCAAGAGAGCCATGGGGTTAGTGAGAACGTGGGGGCCAGGACACCCCACACAGCCTTGCCACTGCCACTGAGCCCTTCTCTGCTAGAGCTGCACCCTTTATTTCACCACTCCATGGAGCATCCAGGAGCTCTGGGTGTGAGCAGCATCAGAGCTGCTGCACAGAGACACTGCTGAGGACGTGGGTTTCATTACCAGCATCCTGGATCAGTCATTTCAGCAAAGAAACGAGGGTAGAAAGACAAGTCCCTGACTGATGACCCTCCTGGAGCACAATTCTGCTCTCCCCCAAGCAGCCAGAAGACAATAAATTTCTGGGTCACTGAGTCACTATAAATAGAGCTTTGTTGCTGAACTGCATCCAGCCATGAGCCACCATGTATTATTAGGTACTTAAAGGTACTGTTTACATTCTTTTCTCATACCCCTGGTGCTTATTTCTAATAAAAAGCAACCAAGGCAAGCAGGCCTGAGAGAGTGTAGCTGGCACAGAGCAATCCCCAGCAGCACATTTGCTGCTGCTGGCACAGAACGGCTCCGCTCCAGCCCCGGGCAGGGCTGGGAGGAAGGCACTGCAGAAGATGCTCTGTGAGGAAACCCTGCTGATTTAGGGATCCAGGAGGCTTGGGTAGGAGCTGGCTGGGTTCCCAGCTAGCCTAAAACTCCGGAAAATTGACACTGAGGTAAATATTGGTATAATTAATTCAGGGCAGTAATGCTTGCTGCAGAGAGGAGGCAATCTGAATATAGGGAACAAATGAACGGGGAGAGGAAGAGAAGATGCAGGCTGTGAGGATCACACCTGGGACAGTGCCCTGAGCCCCAGCTGGATCTGTGGGATGCAGCCAGCAGGGATAGCTGCAGATTTCAGCCTGGTCAGGTTTCTACAATCCTCCCTTTAGGAAACATCACAGGGAGCCTGATCCTGGGGGAGATCCCAGAGCAGGAAGGGGGGTCCCTGTGCTGCTGCAGGAGGTGAGAGCCAGGCAGTGCCAGCCAGGCTGTGCTGGTTGAAGGAGGGACCCAGGCTGTGCTGCTGAGGAAGGGGTGATGCCCATGTCAGTGATGTTCCTGCCCACTTTTGCTGACAAGGTCTGGCCCTGAGCATGACACAGCCTTGGGGCTGTTGTCAGATGCTCAGATAATGGCAGATTTTAGGCCACCCCTTGTCTGGACAGGAGGTCACCAGCCAGCCTAAGGCAGGCAGCTGACAAGGCAGGGTTAGATTCCTGCTGCTCAGGAATCACATCCTAAGACAGAATTGTTTCCCTCCCTTTCTGCACAGGCACTCTGCTGATCTCCTGAGCCTAGCAAAAAGAACATCAATAAAGGAACCATAAAAAGCTCTTTCTCTGCTGAGGAAGAGGTGCCCAGTGTCATACAGAGGAGAACAAGGGCAAGTCCAACTGCTGGGGAAAAAATCCTGCAGGGTTTGCTTGTCCATATCCCTCTGTCCCTCAGTATCACACTCGTTTTTATCTGCACTGAAACATGCATTGGAGAAGTTTTCCTCACTGTGCCTGAGTCCCACACAATGACAATTCATCCCATTTGAATTGTGGTGTGGTGTGGAAACCTGGGAGATGCCTGTGACTAGCAGGGACCTCACTCCAGGAGGCCCTGGGTGAGATTTTCAGGAGTAGCCTCATAGTTTAGAAACCTGTGCCACAAAACAACCCAGGCAGCTGAGAGTTAATGTTTTATGGGAATTAGAGGGCCTACAAGAATTAGTCATGCATCTGGCCATACCAGCTGGTGTCCAGCAGAGGAGTCAGACTCTGAAGTGCTTTTGAAGAGCTCCTGAGATAGTTGTTGATGTGATAAGGATTCTGAGCCACTTTGTCAGTCTGGCTGTAAACGGAACCTCAGCTCCAAAGACGTGTTTAAAACATGCTGCCTTATGTATCAAACCAGGACATGAGGCAAATTCATCTCCTGAAAGGAATCCAGACCAAAACCAAACCTTTCAGGCTTTGTGCTCTGGGTGGAAATCAGCCCTTCTCCAGTGTTAGCAGTGACTCTCCAAAACACAGAGGCTTTGGGCACTTCCAGCTGCATTTAGAATGGTTTGGGTTGTAAGGGACCTTAAAGATCATCTCCTTCCATCCCTTGCCATGTGTTCCACTCAAGCAGGTTGCTCTTGCTCTGAGATCCGAGACGCTCATGTGAGTATTGAGTGATTTCTGTATCTCCTTGCTCGTTATGCCCTGCTCTGCACCTCTGAGCCCATGCAGCAGCAGCAGTAAACAGCAAACAGCACAAAACACCCAGCTGGGTGCCACAGGGAAGCAGGATTTGGTCTGGACTGGAAGAGTTTTCTTTGTTGAGTGCCTCAAAGAGCAGTGACTACACACAGCCCCCTCCTCTGAGACCCTGGCTGGGCGATTAGAGCCTGCAGGAGCCGGGGAATTATCATTATTACAGGTAATTTATTAAAAACAGGAAATGCTTTAAAAAAAGAGGAAGAGCCATTTCCATGAGAACAAGATCTTCTAGTGTTAGACAGTAATTGCCAAAAGTTGTAAACAAGGCCTGTGGAAGGTTGTAAATCCACATGCCTCACACCCCTGGGAGCCTTTAATTGCTCTGAGGGAGCAGGACATGCTCGGAGAGGCCGCTTATCTCCCAGCCCTCTGCAGGCAGATATGGATGCTCCAGCCATGCTGCAGCCAAGGCACTGGCACGGGATGGGAGATAAAGGATCACAGGAGGTGAAACTCCTGCAGCAGCTTCCCTCTGCTCTGAGTTCCGTATTCCCAACATGCCTGACACGGTTCATGGAAGTGCTGCCTCTCGTTTTGCCACTCCTGTACATTTAGCTGGAATATATGAGCCCTGTGTAGGACCTACCCCGGTTGGCAGCAGAGCTGCAGGACTGGTATAACAGGATCTCACAGATCTGGGCTGTGAAGGAGCTCTGCCAGAGTTTTCTCACTGGGAATCAACCCCACACACACACCAGAAGCACCCCTGACCCCAGCATGTTTTGGGGTGCGACCGTCGCAAGCAACCAAAGTCCCGTGATTTACCTGAAGCTCAGAAAAGGCTCCCCATACCAGCACCCTCCAGCACCAGGAAGTTCAAAGGAGGAGAAGGAAAGAAAACAGGGGTGTCCCGTCCTGTCTGGATCCCAAAAGCAGCTCCTGGGTGCCTGGAGCCGGCCCCAGCCTCCCTCAGCCACTCACGGTGTTGTAGTACTCAGCAATCACCGCCGAGCGCTCGAAGTTGCTCTCACACCAATCCACCTCGGCACTCTGGTAGGAAAATATGCTCGGCATCGTCAGGCACCTTGGGAAAAGGAGAGGAGCAGGTTAGTGGTGGGCACAGAGGAGGAGAGGGCTGCACACCCATAGGAGACCCTGCTCCTCACACCTGGGCACCCAGCACAGCGCCTTACCCGGCTACCAAGGACTCATCCTCTTCCCAACACACATCCTACTGCACAACAGTTCCTCTCTCCCTTCCATGCAGGACTTGCAAATCACCCCAGAAAATGCTCTTGGACTCAAGATGGATGGGCACCAATCCATGGCATTAACGTCTCTCATCAGGTGCCACACCAAGATTCCCCATTTCAGCCCAGTCCTTGTCACCTCGTCTTCTCCCTTCTCACTTTCTTTATGACTCAGACCTTCCTGCCAGGAGGACTTCCCTGTGCTCTGTGAGTTACCTCTGGGGAGTGGACAACCCTACAGAGGCTGGTGCTCATTGGTTCTGTTCTCCACCGTCGTTCCTCAGCATCTTCCTGAGGGCTGGAACTCGGCTCCTGGGAGCTCAGTCCTGGAGCACCAGCACAGACCCTGGGCATTCCCAGAGTCCTGGGGCACTGGGAGCACTGGGAGGTGTCTCTTCCCTCTGAGCTGGATTTCACTTGGAGCGCACTCCCAGGCAATCTCCACCCTGGTTTGCCAGTGAAAGGGATCGGAGTTCGACACCTCCTGCAGGTTCTCCACTGCCAGACCCAACCTCTGGTACCAGTGCAGCTACAAATGGGACTCCAAACAAAAAGAAAGTCTAATCTTCTGCCTACTTTTTTTCCCCATGTTAAAAACTTTCCTGTCCTCATTGTTTCTCAGCATTCTTTTATATTAATTTGAAGAAGCAGTTCGGATCTTATTTTGATCAGAAGTTTCCTATTTGCCATATTTTTTTCAGATCCTTGAGACTTTGGAGCTGCTTTTGAAGACAGGTGCCAACCTTAGAGGCATCTGGAAGCACCACCAAACCCACGGTAGCTGGATTTTTGGTACAAAACAGAGGCAGAAATTCCCTGGAGCTGAGCAGTTCAGTCCCTGGATGAGGTGTGGGACTAACCCAGACACTCATGCTGCTCCAGCCCTGCAGAGTGAGCAGGTTTGGGGTGACACCAGGCAGGTACCGAGGTGACACTGCCTCAGTGGCATCTCTGAGCTCCCAAGGCACTGATGACAAACAGCTTTCTTTGCTTCTCTTTGAAAATCTTTTCAGATCCAATACAGGGAAGGGAAGTTTGTCTTGAACGCACTCATCAGTTGATGAAGTTCTTGAGGAGAATTTCCCTGTTTGCAGTGGGATGAGCTGAGCCACCGCCGTGTCCAGCAGTCCCCTGAGTGTGCAGCAGGGTGGGGCTCCCACAGCTTCCTCTGCCACCCTTCCCAAGCAGTTCAAAGAGAGAAAACACAGGAGTGTAACACAACACAAACGAGCTCTTCTGCAGCTCCTGCTCCGACCAGACAGACTGACTCGAGGGTGAACCTCCGCTGTTAACGATGGCCTCTCCTTAATCCAGGCTGGCTGCTTCCCAGAGCAGCGGGGAGCACAGCAAATAGGTGGCAGGCAGAAGGGTTTGAGGGCTGACTCTTCACACTCCTGGGTTTCCATGTGCTACTTCACACCACAGAGACTCTTCTCTCATCCCTCATCACTTGCAAGGTGAATAAACAGTCGGACCCAGGATGGCAAATCCCACCTCATGGCTCAAGAGATGTCAGTTGAGAGATGATGAAGAGATGGCGAGACAGAAGAAGAAGAAGAAGAAGGAGCAGGAAAATGGAAGCAGTGATGGAGTGCCCAGCACTGGCTGCTGGTGTCTCCTCCCAGCCTGGCTTACCTGTGATGGCTGGATGGACCAGCACTGCTTCCACACGCTCTGGGAGCTCCAAGGTTTCCAGCAAAGCCGGAGCAGCAACCTGCCCTGCCGCTCTAGCTCCGAAGGAGTGCCCACGGTGTGAGCTCACCGCCAGCAGCCGCCAGAAAATCCCCTCGCTCCGTCCCTAGGGAAAGAGTTGGGATGGGACAGGAACCATGTGCACCCTCCAGGCAAAGCCGGGCCCCCACAGGAAACATATTGGCTGGAGGGGTTTATATCCGTGCCCCCGGATGGGCAGGGGCAAGGAGGCAGGGCAGGGAAGCGTGAGCTGGAAGGGTTGGAAGAGAGGGCTGGAAGTGCAGCCTGAAATCATCTGTGTGCCCCCGGGCAGGTTCCCTGCGCAGGCGCAGGCACCTGGTCCTGGCCCTGCTTCTCCCAGGGGAGGGAACATCCACACAAACTCCCCTGCACATGGAGAAAACCCAATACAAGAATTTTTACCAGAAAGTCTGGAGCAAGGTGATGCTGCCTCTTTCAGGATTTAAATTCAAGCCACTTCTCAACTTTTTCCCCAAATGCTGTTTTATTATCAAAAAGAATCTTATCAAATCTCACTTCTCCTACCTGGTTTATTTTGTTATTTAGTTAAAGAACTATCTGAACAGGACACCTTTGGTTGACTGCTTTGCAAATATTTTCCTCCTGGACCTCATTCAGGCGTTCAAGATATTTGGCAGCAATTAAACTTTTCCCCCCAAAACAACATTTTTTTTCCCTCCATGTAGAGTTGAGAGAAATATGTTGTTTTCTTAAACATGAAACTTATTATTTGGCCACTGCTTCCTGGTGGAGACACCACAGGCAGGGTGAGACCAAGCTCTAAGGTCTTTGTGTCCCTGTCCCTGTCCCTGTCCCTGTCCCTGTCCTTCCTGAAGAGTAGGGATCAAGCCTTTGCTGTGGGGAGAAGCTCTTTGGGAAGCTCAGCCATTTATTTTGCTGCTCCTATGAAAAGGAGCATCTCTGTGAGAGCTGGGCTGTGCCAGGGCTTACAAAAGCCTCACAAATCCGCCTGGATTTGGAGATGAGGGTAATTAACCACAGCAGCGGCGGCTGATGTTGCACCACGGTGGAGCCTCCGTTACCCCAGGCTCAGTGTCCTTCTAGGACAGACTTGGAGCAGAGGATCTGAGGGGATCCCAGAGAGCTACTCCCAGCCCTGGATGCTGAGGGAGTGTGGGATGGATTTGCTTTTTATTCACTTGGAGCTCTCAGTGGACTCTGCAAGCAGGAGCTCCCAGACTGGAAGGAGCTCCCCAGTTCCACAGTGAGAAACAAGTGGTGACTTGCCCATCCCACTGGGAAGAGAGGCAGGGAAGGTGGCAGAGATGGCTTTGAGAAGAAGAACCCACACAGGTGATGCCTAGTCTGTGTGAACATCTTTGAAAAGAATGAGTTTTCTCACCCCAAAACCTCCAGCATCCTTGGGGTGAGTGAAGTGTCCAAGCATCCCTGATACATCCTGTGCCACGCAGTGGGTAAATAACTGGGGAGGGTGTCACGGGTCTGCATCTCCCCTGATTCATCAATAACTAGGTCATAAAGAGAGCTTGGTTTCCTGCTGAGTCCTCACTCCAAACTCCTGCTAATGTTTACATCCTCCTGCCTGTGGTCAGCAGGGCCTGGGATGCTGGGGATGCTGACATGGGGCTGGGCTGGGGACAGGAGGGAGCCCAGGGTGAAACTTTTGGGCTTTGTGAGAGGACCACAGAGACCCCCCAGTGCTGGCACTGCTGAGGCCCCACCTTAAATCCTGGGGGCAGATTTGGGCTCCTCATGACAAGAAGGACCTTGAGGGGCTGGAGCGTGTCCAGAGCAGGGAATGGAGCTGGAGAAGGGTCTGGAGCCCCAGGAGGGGCTGAGGGAGCTGGGAAAGGGGCTCAGCCTGGAGAAAAGGAGGCTCAGGGGGCCCTTCTGGCTCTGCACAGCTCCCTGCCAGGAGGGGACAGCCGGGGGGGTCGGGCTCTGCTCCCAATCAACAGGACAAGATGAAACAGCCTCAAGTTGCTCCAGGGGAGGTTTAGATTGGAAATTAGAGGCTTTTTTTTTCACAGAAAGATTGAAAAGCATTGGAATGGGGTGCCCAGGGCAGTGGTGGAGTCACCATCCCTGGTGGTGCTCAAAAGCAGTGTGGATGTGGCACTTGGGGACATGGGTCAGTGGTGAGCTCAGTGGCAGTGCTGGGCTGATGGTTGGACTTGATCATCTTAAAGGTTTTTCCAGCCTTAAGGACTCTGTGATTCTGATCCTCCCTGTGTCTGAAACTTCTTTCTCTCAAAGCTTCCCTGGAGTCCTCACCTCTTTGCTGAGCCCTGCTGCCTCCTCCCCACCTTGTTCCTCACATGAGACACCTCTGCTCAGCTCTGTGAAGGTCAGTGACATGTCGCATTGTTCAGGGGCTGTCCTGTCCCCTCAGCTCATCCCTTCCTGCTCCCTGGCACTGATGCCCTCTTGCAAGGCCCCACATCCCAGGCAATGTCCCAGGCTTTGTGACACAGGACTGGGTTTCACCTGGACAGCCTCATCCCAGCTCCTTTGTCTCTCTGTCATCCCTGGGGACCGAGGTTCTCACTGGGACAGCTGAGAGCAGGCAGGGGAACCACAGAATTCCAGATGGTTTTGGTTGGGGAGGACCTTAAAGCCCATCCAGTGCCACCCCCTGCCACAGGCAGGGACACTTTCCACCATCCCAGGGTGTCCCAAGCCTGGTCCAAGTTGAGGGGTGGAACAGGGGCTGAACCAGGGCCAGGCTGCCCAGGTTTTACAGCTGTGTGCCCAAAAGCCATGCTGGGCAGGCAGTTCTGCTGCTGCTGCCACCAAAAGCTGGGAAGAGGGGGCTCTGGCAGGTGAGTCTGTTGCTTAACTCGAGGCTGGTCCTGCCTGCTTTGCTGTGTGGCACCTTGGATGCAGATTTCCACCCGAACTGCTGCTGACGAGGGATTTTTTTTAAGAGATACCAATTGCAGCCACTGTGGTTCAGGGCCACGTGTGTTTATTTATTGCTTTGGCTGCTGTGGGCAGAGGGGCAGCAACAGCAGGGCAGGGAGGATGAGGTGGGAGTGCTGGCATCCCACATTCCCACTGCTGTTGGCTCAGCACGAGTGAGTCAGAGCCCTGGGGTGGATGGAGACAAATGACTGCTCCATGCTCACAGTGAGGCAGAGGGCGAGTCAGGAAGGGAAACCAGGAATTTTGGCTCATTATTGTCATGCTGCAGCACTCTGTCCATGCCCAGGAAGGTCCTGGAGGTGCCTGGACAGGCTCCATCCCACTGCCATTCTTAGCATTTGGAACTTCAGGGCTGCAATTTCCTGCTTCCAGGTATAAAAACACAGGCAGGTGACCT